ACAAAAGAAAAATAATAAAGCTTTTCAATTAGTTAGAGCTGGTTAGTTAGTGCTAGTTAGAGCTCCTTAAGAGAAAACATGTGACTGATATCTTTTCTAAATTTACCAGGATATATATAACTAAAATCTATTCTTATATAACAATTTTGAATACTTTTATTTAGGCTGGCTTGGTTGGGTATACATTTCTCTTTATTTAAACGTTACATGTCTCTTCTTTAAATGCTTTCTTTTTCAGTGAATTTATTATGCTACTTTTTATTTGAATGCATGATTTTTTCTTTATATATAAACTTTTATCTCTCTTTTAACTTTAACATTCCTATCTATTTTTTTTTAATTCGTAATAAATCACAACATGCATAGAAATTTGGCGGAAAAAAGACTAATAAATATATATTTTTTAAAAGTATTTTTTAAATATTCCGTATAAATTTTCTTTTGACTAAATTCAAGTTAATCCAGAATCAATTTTGCAAATTTCAGGCCAAAAATGTACACTTAATTATTCATATTTGCTTTGATTTATTCTTGTATGGATTCTGGTAGGATAGTTCCAAGATCACAAACATATAATTTTCAGAAACAGCCTAAGCATCAGGAGTAACAACAGAGTATTATAGTCAAAGCCCAATCCCACAAGCGCTAGCTCAATACGGGCCCTTATTGCAGTGTTTCTAATGCCCCACAGAGAAAATCAAGAGTGTGAGTAATTAAACATTTGAAACGATGGATTAACAATGCTGAATCCCCCATCTATGAGCAAATTATGACCACTGACATACCTTGAATCATCACTGGCAAAATATAGTGCTGCATTTGCTATATCACCAGCTTTAAGGGTCACACCCTTGAGATTAGCCATCGAGTTCGTTATATTCTCAAGCTCCTCATCATTAACTCCAACAAACTTGGTGGCCAATGGAGTTGCAAGAGCGTAAGGTGACAAGCAATTAACCCTTATCCCGAATTGGCCAAGCTCAACGGCTGCATTTTTAGTTAAACCAACGACAGCATGTTTAGCACAACAATATGCATGGCAAGCAGCACCACCAACGTAAGAGCTTACGCTAGCCGTAGATATAATGCTACCCGTACGAGCTGGGATCATGGCCTGTGATGCGTGTTTTATGCCGAGGAAAACACCTTTGTAAAAAACAATAAATATAAAATCATTAATAGCTACTTCATCTAAGAACTTAATTTTTTAGATTAAATAATTATAAGTAATAATTTAAAAGAATTATTTCAATCAAAAAATTTAAGATAGTACATAATGGACTCTTAATGATTTTATATTATATTTCTTTAACATATTCTTCATATTCAAAATTTATTTTTTAGTTTATTTTGTGTTCATTTAATCTCAGCAAAAAGTAAGAGGCGATAATGATTAAACTCGTAATCTCGTGATCACGGAAACTCTAATATCACATAATTAAGACAACTATATAACTAATCTAAAAGCTTAAAGTTATAGGTGATGAAACTTTTAATGGTTTTATATTTATTCTCTAGCAATAACATAAATTTTTAGGTGAAAGATGAAATGATTATTTACAAACCTGTGACATTGACACTGAGCACGCGCTCGAAATCTGCTTTGTCATTGTCGATGATTCGGGTTTTGTTGGAACCGCCTATGCCAGCGTTGTTGAACATGATGTCTAGCTTCCCATATGTTTCTACGGTTGTGTCCACTGCATTTTTTACTTGGTTCTCGTCAGTGACATCGCAATGGACGTATGAACAAATTGAGGGCCCTATGGATTGAGCAACAGAATGTCCAAGTTCATCTTGGATGTCTACAATCATTACTTTGGCTCCATGCAGGGCGAATACTTCTGCAGTGCGTTTCCCAATGCCACTGGCTCCCCCGGTTATCAGTGCCACTTTTCCTTCCAACCTGCACAGAAGAAAGGGTTCATAGTAGGCCTTAATTCCATTTAGAAATCTTTCAATGTTTATGAATGAGTATGGAAGTTTGTATTATATGTTACTATTAACACATACCTTCGGTTGACTGCAGAGGTTGAACTTGCCATTGCGTGATCTATGAGACAGAGAGAAAGGGAGAGGAGGAACAATTAATTTGTTAGAATATGAAATTAGAGACAAACTTTATAGTCCCGTGTTCTTCTTAACAAAGAGATAAAGCCTTGAGCATACCAATAATGAAGTAGGCCAAAATAACTCATATTTTATTATTTAAATACTTTATTTAAATATAAATTTATTATTAACAACCACATAATTTAACTTGTACCATCTTGGTTACATAAATTGATTAGTTTCACGACAATGCCGTCCTTGTATGTATCTATCCCGGATCGCATTCCCCAAGGTGATACATTGAGGTAATTCGACAAAGTTAGCAGCCGATACCAACTAAGAATAATCAAGTGGGAATCTTATCCTGAACAAATTATATTATACATTCGAGTTTAAGACGAATACTGCTCACTTCAATTTTTTTTCTAAAACTAAAGTAAACATTCCCACTAAGATTAAAAGTTTTTTTTTTACCATTGTGACTTTTAATTAATAAAAATTTACCACTTCACCTCTATCTCAAAATATATCACTCATATGCTCTTTTTCTATCGTTGACCCAACAATATACTCGAATATATGGTCTTATACTCAAGTATCCTGCGAAAAGAAAGCTAAACTTGAGCATGCAAATGGACTACCCAGTAGTGTTCTTCTTTTGGGCATTTCTTGAATTATTTACCCCAAGTATCCATGGGGATATATACCCGAGTATTGTTCGTGGGTAGGGTTTTTTAAAACTCAACCCCTCATTCTTCCTCCCTCATAACGGATACCAGGGTAGAGCTGCGAATAAGAGGGAAATTTTAGGGCCTTCACCCTCATTGACACACTGAAATCCACTGTTCCTTCTTCCACCATCATCCTTCCTCCACCATTGTTCTTGCCTTCAACCGATTGAAAATGAAGAAAGGTATGTCTTTTGGGTTTTTAGTTTTCAATGAACCTTAACCTAAAATGCATTTTCGGTGTCAATGTCCTGATTTTCGTTTGTGGGTACCTCTTTATTTTTCACTTAATTCGCTGCTTGTGCCTCTTAATATGTCAACCATGTGGGTACCTCTTCTTATTTTCACTGTTATATTATTAAGAGGCACAAGCAGCAAAGACAGGGTGAAGTGAAAAATAAAGAGGTACCCACAAACGAAAATCAAGACATTGACATCGAAAATACGTTTTGGGTTAGGTTCATCGAAAACCAAAATCCCAAAAGACATATCTTTCTTCGTTTTCAATCGGTTGAAGGCAGGAACAGTGGTGGAGGAAGGATGATGGGGGAGGAGGAAAGAACAATGGATTTCAATGAGTCAATGAGGGCGAAGGTACCAAAAGTTTCCTCTTATTCACAGCTCTACTCGGGTATCTGTTATGGGGCAGGAAGAATGAGTGGTTGGGTTTTAAAAAACCCTATCCGCGAACAATACTTGGATAAATAATTCAACAAATATCCAGCAGATGAATATTACCCAGGCAGTCCATCTGCGTGCTTGAGTTTAGCTTTCTTTTTCGCAGGATACTCCAGTATAAGGCTATATACTCGAGTATATTATTTGATCAACAGTCAAACAGGGGCATATGAGTAATATGTTTTGGTACGAGAGCAAAGTGGTAATTTTTTATTAATTAAGGTGCACAATGATAAAAAATCGTGGTATGGGCCATGCGGCTGGCTCAGGTTTTACCGGCACTTAAAACAATACTAGACAACTTTCGAAGAAGCTCCAAAGCTTGGGCTACTCTAAATTTCTTTTTTTAAAGATAAACATTTAGGTACCTTTAATTTGTTCAAAGGATACTAGCGTACATGAAGTTTGATATGCACTTCGAAAGTTGTGCAAGGATATTTTCATTGTGTTCTAATTTTTTTCAGTTAAAATTGTTTTGTAAAACAGTTATGAAAATATATGTTTTATGTGCTTTTATTATTTTGAAAGTTGAAAATCAAAACACAAAATTAAAATAACTGTGATATGGTCTCTAAATATGATTTTAAAAATAAAAAAATAATTACAATTCTTAAAACTTTTTTTTACAAAATAAACATTACGTGACGAATTTTTTTTCCTGAAAACCAAAAAATTATTTTTAAAACCAGTATTCAAACAGGGATATTTCCACTTTCGCCCTTCGTTAATAATTTGCACCCATCATTTTAATTTTTTTTTTAATTTAGAATGAAACTTATGTTTTCTCTGGTAATTATACAATAGAATCATGTTATTACATGTTGAGATATATAGTCCCACATTGATTGGATGGACAACTAATATGGCCTTTATAAGGCCTTGGACACTCCCACCCTTTGAGCTAGCTTTCGGGGTGGTGTATCCCAAGGTTCTTTACATGGTATCAGAGCCTCACCGTCCCTCGCTTTAAAAAGTGGAATTAAAAAAAAAAAAAGCACAAAAAGGTAAACCAAAAATGGGCCTGTGCAATTTCCACACTTCTAGCCTAAAGGGCTCTTGCGTGAGGGGACGTGTTGAGGTATATAGTCCCACATTGATTGGATGGACAACTAATATGGCCTTTATAAGGCCTTGGACACTCTCACCCTTTGAGCTAGCTTTTTAGGTGGTGTATCCCAGAGTTCTTTACATTATACATTAAATTGATTTTGATCAATATTTTTTTCTCCAAAATTATTTTTCAGATAGAGGTGTCTAAATATGAAACACTTCAGTACAAATTTTCTTTTGACTAAATTCAAGTTAATCCAAAATCAATTTTGCAAATTTCAGGCCAAACATACACTTAATTATTCATATTTGTTTTGATTTATTCTTGTATAGATTCAAGTAGGACAATTCCAAGATCACAAATTATATAATTTTCAGAAGCAGCCTAAGCATCCGAGTAACAGCAGAGTATTACAATCAAAGCCCAATCCCACAAGCACTAGCTCAATACGAGGCCTTATTGCAGTGTTTCTACTACCCCAACAGAGAAAATCAAGAGTTCGAGTAGTTAAACATTGGAAACGAGGGATTAACAATGCTGTATCCTCCATCTATGAGCAAATTATGACCACTCACATACCTTGAATCATCACTAGCAAAATAAAGTGCTGCATTTGCTACATCATCAACTTTAAGGGTCACACCCTTGAGATTAGCCTGCGAGCTCATTATATTCTCAAACTCCTCATCACTAGCTCCAACAAACTTGGTGGCCAAAGGAGTTGCAAGAGCGTAAGGTGACAAACAATTCACCCTTATCCCGAATTGGCCAAGCTCAACGGCTGCATTTTTAGTTAAACCAACAACAGCATGTTTAGCACAACAATATGCATGCGAAGCAGCACCACCAAGGTAAGAGCTTATGCTAGCCGTAGATATAATGCTACCCGTACGAGCTGGGATCATGGCCTGTGATGCGTGTTTCATGCCCAGGAAAACACCTGTGACATTGACACTGAGCACGCGCTCGAAATCTGCCTTATCATTGTCAATGATTCGGGGCTTGTTGGGATCAACTATGCCGGCGTTGTTGAACATGATGTCTAGCTTCCCATATGTTTCTACGGTTGTGTCCACTGCATTTTTGACTTGGTTCTCGTCAGTGACATCGCAGTGGACGTATGAACAAATTGAGGGCCCTATGGATTGAGCAACAGAATGTCCAAGTTCATCTTGGATGTCTGCAATCATTACTTTGGCTCCATGCTGTGCGAATACTTCTGCAGTGCGTTTCCCAATGCCACTGGCTCCGCCGGTTATCAGTGCCACTTTTCCTTCCAACCTGCACAGAAGAAAGGGTTCATAGTAGGCCTTAATTCCATTTAGAAACCTTTCAATGTTTATGCAATAAGTATGGAAGTTTGTATTATATGTTACTATTAACACATACCTTCGGTTGACTGCAAAGGTTGAACTTGCCATTGCGTGATCTATGAGACAGAGAGAAAGGGAGAGGAGGAACAATTAATGTGTTGGAATATGAAATTAGAGACAAAACTTTATAGTCCCATGTTCTTCTTAACAAAGAGACAAGCTTTTTGTATAGCAATCTTGTTTGTATCTGTCACGGATCGCATTCCCCGAGTTTATAATGCCGAGGTAATTCGACAAAGTTAGCAGCTGCTACCGACTAAGAATAATCAGGTTGGAATCTTTTCCTGAACAAATTATATTATATATCCTGAACAAATTATATTATATATTTTGCTACCGGCGGCGGCAAAATGCAACTGGGACCAAATGTTTCTCGTCCTGGACTGCATATTTTGCCAGGTATTCAAAGTTTCTTTTTTTTAAAATAAAAAATAAAATAAAATTATAGTATAGTCAAGTAGATTTACTCCCACGTCAGTGCATCCAAATTCACACTCACGTATAGCAAGCTTCAATAGATCTCTCCGGAATCGCATGACCATCAGACGGGACTACTGACCCGAGTGTTTAAACTCATGCTTAGAGTGTGATTATTCAAAAGGATGGGACAGCCCATGAGGGAAAAAAAAAGTGTGATTATTCAAAATCATTAAGTTGGCTGAGCCAATATAACATATTTACAGTGCGTTTGGTTAAAATTTTAACCGAAACAGATAGGAAATACATGATTTCCTATGCACCATTTACTATTATTGATAGCGTTTATAGGATTAATATTTACTGTTCCTTTTAGTCAACATGACCAACATAAGTATCTAATACAAACAGGATCTTAATCGTCAATGAAAAGCTTCCAAAAAATCTAACCCTGATCATGCTACAATAATCCCTTTTTCAGCAATACAGAAAACTGCAGTTTAAATCTAACCCTGACAATACATCACCAAGAATTGCATCCGACCTGTTTGTTTCGCAGTTCCAGTATCAAAAAATCCAGAGCAACAATGAAGTTGCTGTGTAAAAACCTGTTTCTCAAAATTAAGACCCCAAGCTTAGTTGATACATGGCAGTAAATGAAAACCGGAAAAAACTTTAATCCCGTCAACTCCATTTACAATTTAACAATCATACAGCAACTGTTTAGCTTCCAGATCAACTGCAAAAGAATTACATCACTTTCCATTTTCTGCAACCAAATTAACCAATTGAGAACTTGATACATGGAATTGTGAAAGCTTAAAATACCCAAAGAATTCAGCTCTGGACTAAATTTTACTGCAACCAGGTATCTTCCGCACTCTCCTTTCCCTCATCTTATCTCTCACAAGGGAAACATCTATCCATCGCTCTGCTGCTGCATAGATGTTAGACAACAGCACATAGTTAGCTGCATTTTGAGGCTCAAGCTCAAAAAGTCGATTAGCAACAATCTCTCCTAATTCTGAATCACCGTATAGTTTACATGCCCCAAGAAGTGCACCCCAGGCACCAGCATGAGGCTCCACATGCATTAATTTTATAAGTTCATAAGCATCCCTTAATTGCCCTGACCGGCTTAGAAGATCAACCATACATGCATAGTGATCAGGGGAAGGACTCATGCCGTATTTTTGCTGCATGGACTGGAAGTAGCTCCAACCCTTGTCAACAAGGCCGGCATGACTACAAACTGTCAGGATGATTGTGAAAGCCACTTCATCCGGAGTTAGCCCTTCCATCAGCATCCTGTTAAATAGATTCACCGCCTCTTCGCCACGCCCATGAATTGACAACCCTTGTATCATTGAACAATATGAGACTAAATCCCGTTTTGGCATTTCTTTAAACAATTTTAATGCCCTTTCCATGTTTCCGCATTTTGCATTCATATCCAGAAGTGCTGAAATTACATGGTCTTGCTGAAGATCAATAGAGCTATTGTTTACATAAGAATCAACCCATTGAGCCAGTTCTAAACAACCCAACTGAGATGAAGCCGTCATCAAGCTAACCAATATGAACTCATCAGGCTTCACATTCTTTGATTCCATCTCAAGAAAGACTTTCAACGCCTGATTAGGCTGACCATTCTGGACGTACCCTGTTATCAAAGCAGACCATGCAACAATATCCTTTTCCGTAGCTTGTTCAAACAAGAACCTTGAGGCTGCCATATCACCAACCTTCGCATAGCCATCAATCATGGTCGTGAAAGAAACCACATTCCTTTCAGGCATAGCATCAAACACACCCCTAGCACTGCTCAAATCTCCCACCTTTACAAACCCTCGCATCATCGCGTTCCAGGAAGCCACATTCCTCTGCGGCATCACATCAAACATCTTCTTTGCCTCCACTATATCCCCAACAGTGACATACCCAACAACCACAGCCGTCCAAGAAACCACATTTCTCTCAGACATTCGATCAAACACCTTGCGAGCATCACCAATCTCCCCACACTTGCCATACATATCAATCAAGCTGGTGCCCACGAAGAGATCCCCTTCCACTCCACACCTCAAAGCCGACCCATGGACCGATTTTCCTTCCCGGGCATTGCACATGATGGAACAGGCTTTAATCACTGAAGGGTATGTGTAGCTATCGGGAAGAGCCCCATCTGCCTTCATGCGAACAAAAACAGAGAGGGTATCGGAAAAAGAACTCTTTTGGCAATGGAATTTGATGAGAGTGTTCCAGAGGAAGGAAGTAGGCATGAGAAGGCGATCGAAGACGGCGACAGAATAAGCGAGAGTGGCAAGAGAGTTGGCGAGGGAAATGAAGTGGGAAATGAGGAAGTGATCTTGCTCGAGACCTCTTTTGATGATGCAAGCATGGACTTGCTGGAGATGTTCACTACTCTTGCACACCTTCAGGAGGGTTGCGATGCTCGCAGCTGACCGAGGAGAGGCATAATGTTGACAGATTGAACGCATGGAAATTGGAGGGAAAAGCTTGCATTTGCGCACGATGCTTTCTCTGACATCAAATATGATAAATTCTGAATATTATTTTGTGAATGATTCTATGAGATAGGTTATATTTCTCTATCATTAATAGATAGAATAATATATTTCATATATAAAATCAGCATAAATAAATCTTATAATATATTTTTTTTCCTTTAGTTTAACTTATAATCTATCAAATAAAGGAAAAATAAATCAATTATATTAACAATTGTACATCCAGTATTTAGAACACTCTACTTTAGCCATTGTCCTTACTTTTTTCTTTTTCTTTTTTCTTTGTAAAGAATTTCATTTTTTTGTTTATATGAATGATCCTTTAAGTTAATATCACTTTGATACATCAAAATTAGGTGCCATCACTCTGTTTTTTTTTTCTAGATGCATAGGTGAATTTCTCTTCTCTTTCTCTCTCTTTGGAAAATGTATAGGTCAATCTCCACTCTCTTTAAAGGGGAAGGATATTGTGACAACTAAGTTGTGTTACTATCAAGTGATTACCAATCAATCTCACCGTTAGATTGGTTATGTTGATCCAACGGTTATATTTATTTCCATCTTTGTATGGTCATAATTTCCTAAATTTAACAATTTATATTTATTTTCACTTTTGTATGGTTATGATTTTTCATATTTAATGCTTTCACTTTAAATATGAGGAATCATAACCATACAAAGATGGAAATAAATATAATCTTTGTATCAACATAATCGATCTAACGGTGAGATTGATTGGTAGTCACTTGGTAGTAACACAATTTAGTTGTCACAATATCCTTCCCCTTCTTTAAATTGAAAATAAAAGATATTCGGGAACTTTTTTTATATAAATTTGGAAATAAAGTTTATTTCTGATTTTATTTAATTAAATTTTCAATTTAACTTTTAAGATTTCCCGTTTGTTTTGATTTACTTATTTTAAAGTTAAAAAAAAAAACTTTTAATCAAAACTTGTTAAAAGCAATTGAAAAAACGATTATTTTCTCTCTCTTTTTAAAGGAAATTTTTTACCCAACATGCCCTTATAGCAAATTCTTCTAGTCCAATAATAAAATAAAAAAAGGAGCATGCGCTTGCATGATCAAACCAATAATTGTTATAGTTCCCCTCGCGCTTGGCTAACATTTCTCAAATATTCAAAGACACGGGAAGAGACAGAACCACCCTTTGGCAGAAAATAATTAAATTGCGAATATTAGTTCCAAATTCCAACCCCTCAACTTCAATAATTTTGGCTCATTATTCATCCTTATTTCGAGGAAATGTCAAAATCAAGTTAATTGGATCCTCCTCACTCATTGAAGCACCTTGTGGGAGACAAAGTAGCATCCTTAAATACAAAAGGAAAAAAAAAAAGACAAAATGTTCTTAATCAGCTTCAGCATATATTACAGGAGAAAAGAAAAACTCGCGGGTTATATTTATAACGCATGTTCTGAACTCTACAAACACGACCATACCTGTGTATGGTCAAATGAAAATTTAAGCAGCGAGTGCTGCAAGGTTAGCAGCCATGGCTATCAGCAAAATAAAACTTAAACGGATATGAGCATTGTGTCATGATATTGGCAGTCCTTCATTTTTACCAGCCATCGTTCATGATAGCCTCTTGGCAAGCAAAGCATTATGTCAAAAGAGATGAGCATCTTCTCACCTTTTCGACTTCCTTACATTCTGGCTCTCACCCCTGGTTTCCCCTAACCTTGATTTTAGACCATTGCCCTGCAATATAGCAGGTCTCTCCTGGAAGGTATTCGTGAGATCACGTGATGGCCAAGGCTGAGAAAATTGTCTAGTTGGACTGGCATAACCTCTGGAAGATCCAAGCCTGGAACCGGCCAATATCTGATCTCTTAGACCTTTCACTGATTTATAGCCTTGCATTTCATCGCCATGACCTTTTACTTGAGCTTGTTTCTCCAGTTCATAAAAGCTTTCCCAGTCTATTCCTTCTCCTGAATTTTGAAGCTTCTCAGGTTGGACTCCCCATTCCATTCCATCTGATATACTCCTTTGCAGAGATGTGCTTCGCCTTGAAGCTCTCCCAGAGGTAGACCTCCTACCTTTCACTTCTTCCTCAATTGGAAATCTTCTGGTATCAAATCTGCTTTCAGAAGGGTAGGTCCAGTTATAGCTCTTGTTGTTGTTGTCCATATTTAACTCTATAGAATGCAGGTCACTTTCAGCATATTCCTCTTCACATTCTACTCCATTGTCAACCTCTCCATCATCTTCTTTATCTTCATTATGATGGGAACCTAATCGGCTTCTACCTAAATATGCAACAATTTCTTCACCATTCAAGTGAGTGGAACTGCGTCCTTTTTCTCTAACTTGTTTGTTTCCCAGAAAAGCTTCAAGTTGATTCCTGAGCTCATCAACAACTGCATTCTTTTCCTCAAGCTGATATTTTGCATCAGAGAGTTTCTTTTGAGCTCTCTCCTCACGTAACATATCAGCTAACTGCATCATTTCCTTTTCTTTTTCTACCTCTTCACAAACTTTTGTAGATACTCTCTTTTGTTTCTCTATCTCCGATTTATCTTCACCAACATCTCTTGCTAACTCATCACATACTTGTTCAATAATTTCTCTTGCTCTCTTCTCACTTTCAAGTTCTTTCACCACCTTAAGAAGGATAGCTTTGGTCTCAGCCAGTTCTCTCCCAAGCTTCTTGTTCAAGCTTTCAAACCGTCTCCTGAGCTTCCTCTCAACACCAAGTTCTCCCGCAACAGATTCAATTGCAGCCTCAACAATTTCTTGCTCCTTGCTTTTCCATGCGGCCTTTTCTTCAGCAAAACACTTCATCAAGTAACTTATCTCATTCAGCTCCGAGCGCTGTTCCTGGATAAGCTGATTGACCTGTAGGCGAGCCCTCTCCAGCTCTGTATGTAAAGCTGAGATAAGGGACATACTAGAAGAGGGACGATCTTCATGACCCCACATGCGGTTTATAATTTTAAGTAGCTCTTTGGATGTTGTTAAAGCATTACTAACATCTTTCAAACGTGTTTTAACTCCAACAGTAGAGGAAGCAGGAGTCTGTGCTCGAGATCTGGTTTCAGTCTGCAACAAAACCAAGATGCATCTATAAGGATTTATGCAAATCACATATTATTCAACAGAAATTTTAAATTATCAAAAAGCTGAGTCATATAACATGAGGCATTGTGCACGCAATTGTATGTTAAATTATGCATGTACATGACAGCGTGTTTTGTGCCAGCGTTACATTTCAAATCGTATAAAGTTAACAAAGAACAAAACTGAACTCTCCATTCAAAGTGACAAAAAAATGTATAAATTAACTTTGATATGTAGTGTGGCCATTACGATATGAACAGAAAACTCATTGGCAGTTTATAATCAGTTTCCGCATAAATATTCTACTTGCACATCATGAACAAGTCATATTAATCTGTCAGCAGTGCCATCAAACTACCAGCAGATGTATTAAAAATATAATTACTGGTAAGGGCATCAACAAGGGACCGTGTGCATACAAATCCTTGGGAGTTGGCACCTACACAGCATTTTCATTGTAACTTGTAAGAAGCTCCTAATTTGTCCAAAAATCAGTGGAAAAATATAAGCAACTGAGTTGTCAAAAATAGTGCTATACACGACAGGGCATTTCATGCCAGAGGGATAGATTTCAACACCTAAAAACAACAATAAGGACAAAATTTAAAACCTCAATCCAAAGTAACAAAAAAAAGTATACATCAACTTTGATATGTAATTTGGCCATTCCAGTACTAACAGAGAAGACATCAGCATGTTATAAGTTGTCTAAGCATAAATATTGCATTTACATATCATAAAGCAATTTCATTAACCTTTCAGCAACCCCATGGAACTATTAAATTAATGGGTGAGAAGGGCATGGAACTCCAAAATATTAACAAGGTGTTCGGGAACGGGAAGTATGCAATGCCTAGAAACGAGGTTGTTGGGATGTTAGAAAACGAGATAAAACTCTGAATTAGATACCTCCATGTGACTGACATTGCTAAGAGAATCTAAAGGGCCAACATGGTGTTCTGTAAGCCTCGGCCTGTGAGAAATGGATGGAGTTCTTCTATGGCGACTACCTGTTCCAGATCGATCCATTCTCTACAAAAATAAATAAAAAAATCAATCACCGTTAATGGTTTTATAAATTCCACACTCCAAACATTCCACATTATTTACTGAATTCATAAAATATCAACAATTCAATAGGTCACAGACAGAAATATAATTTCGAGTGAGTTAACCAAAGAATAATAATAATATAAATATTAAAGAAAAAAAAAGGGACCTCTGAGACAGGACTATGTGATGGATCGGACAAATGAGGAGGCAAAGAACCAGAACGCGAGGACTTTGCCAACCTTTCCCTTGCTCTGTGTTCCTTCTTCAACCTCGTATCGTCTTGCATTTCCCTGACGCTGGGCGACGGAGAAGGAATCTCGTTCATCTCCCACAGCGTTGCGGCGAGCTTCCTCGCCGACACCGGAGCTTGCTTGGCCTTGCTACCCGTCTGTGATGGAGGGTACTTTGGGGATTCAAGTGGTCGCAGCGGAGATCTCGAGCTCATGAGTTTCCATGTGGGCACGGGTGTAGTGGATCCGCCCCTCTTGCCTACCAGAATAGCCCTTTTGAACCTGTAGTTGTGAAGCACGGATGACGAAGACGATGCCGACGAGGAACACCCTCGTTTTCTGATCTTCCCAGGAATCATATCCATGCTGCTTCGCTTTTGCCTCAGCATCACAAACCCCTCTATATCTTGGAGCTGCTAGTGATTTGATGAGCACTGACAGACAGAGTCACTGCGAAAGCAGAAAGAAAGAAAAGAGAGAGAACACAGAAGGAGGGAGCAATCCTGTGCGACCTGCCCTGTGGAGCGCGAACACGTGTCCGATTTTGAATGAAGATATGAAAGAACGGAGGAATCCTATGACGGTGATTGGTCGTTGGCTTGTGTATGAAGTGAAGGAAAGCAGAGAAAGGGGTTTGGACTTTGGACCGTATTAGCGAATATTGGGTGGAATGGGATTATAGCGACACAATGTATGCGGCTTTTGGCTCTCACTCTCAATACAAAATGACGACAACTTTGACTTTGACCTTTTCGGTAATCCGGTTTCTTCACTTGAGTTTAGGTGGGCTTACAAGAGTCTATGACCTAGTTTACATCAGAGAAATTTTCTATCTTAATAAATTAAAAATATAAATTCTAAGGAAATTTTTTTAAAATTTTTTCTTTCTCATTTGATTTATTTGTTTAAAAATATTTATTTATTTTAATCTAAAATATTTTGAATTAGATAATTTTTTTATTAAAAAAACTCAATACATTATATCAAACAATAAATAAAACTCATTTTATTTTATTTTTTAATTTGTATTTCTTTAATTTGTTAAGATATAAAAATATTTTAATTTATTTTGTGGTAATATAATAAAATTTATATTATGTATATAATAAATATAATAAGAGCACTAAAATTAATAACTTATTGTGGCATAATGATTGGTGTCATAACTTTCAATGGGAGGATTTGCGTTTGACACCCACTAACAGCACATGAAAATTAACCTATTATATTGCCAATTTAATTGCTTCGATTTTAGGAAAAATTAAAAAGATTTAAATAACTTGATTTAATTAGTTTTATTAATATAATATTATTTTATTATTTTATTTACAACTAGAGCGCAGGTTTTTTTATTGCTGACTTATTTGTATATATATTTTTTACAGTACTATACGCAATAAATATAGATTTTTAATTAACCATTATATTAATTAAATAGTCCGTTCCTATTTATATTAAATTATCCAAGGATCACTTTTATGTCCAGTATAGTATGCATATATTTCATGTATTTATATTAAATTGTGCACAACAACATTAATCATTCTATACAAATTTTGTGTTAATTATTTGATAACTTCGCTATGTTTCAACCAGTAAAGCATTAACCAACCAAAAAAGAAAATAACTAATGAATTAAATGCATGAATAGATATTCCATAAACAATTGTTGAAATCTCCAATTTAAAATTTTGACATATTTTATGTAACTAAGCATCATAATAATAATTTATTTATTTTTGCATAAAAATTTAAATGGAATTAGACATTGGTATCCAACTAATGCTAAAAAGACAACCAATTTCTTTGAAAATTTATAAGAAAATTACAAATCGTTCACCAATAAAATTCTCACATAAGTAATACGAACTCACATTCATATGGGGTGAGTTCAAGCTTGGTTCTGGCAGTTTTAGCTGCTTTCACAGTTCAAGTCTTCTACTTCTCACCCATAGATCCAGTTTACCTTCATCTTTAACTTCAACCAAATCAACTAATTGAACGTGAAAAGTTAACACTTCTTATATGGTCTTATGGCGTTCAAGAATTAGTATTTATAACTTTTTCTCTTTAATATTGTTTCCTTGACAGAATGTTATTAAACTTGGAGAAGGATTTCCGATGCATCAAGAAGATGTTTGTGTGTATAAAGAAGGAACTATCTATACAGCTACTCGAGATGGTTGGATTAAAAGAATGCGCAGGAATGAAATTGGGAGAATTGGAAAAATATTGATAGTCATACTTTGTTAGGAATCACAACAACAAAAGAAGGTGGTCTCCCTAGTACTATCTTTGAGAGGAATTTGAAGCCTTAATTCTAGACTCGTTCCGAACAGAATTGTCTCCCGTAGAAAATAATAGTAGTTTATCAAAAAAAAAAAAAAAATTGGTCTCTTTGTATGTGATACTCTGAAGGTAAAGATAAACTCTCAGGGGAAAAACATGTCTTACAGTATATGAGTCTGACATATTATGGTGTGGATATTGAATTAATTGCAAGAAGAGCATGGTTATTATTTTTCTAGCCTCTAACTTTCTTAAGAAAAAGCCAAAAGACTTCAAGATAAAATATATGCTGCAATGTTAAAGAACAATCATAATTATGATTTGCAGGGTTTGCTAAAGGTTACAGAAGATGGTTTCAGTGTTCTCATCTCGAAAGTAAATGGTTCTCGATATTAAGGTTTGTTCTTCCTCCAAGTCACTTTTCTTCTATCCTAATGTTTACACCTATAACGTGACCCCAAAAAAGAGAAAGAACAAAAATAAGAAGGTATAAACCTAATTCTTAACCAATTGTGCTCATCTTTATTGGTAATTATAATAATTTTAAATATAATAAGAAAAACATTATCGTAATCTTGTTACGATATTGCTATAACAATCAATCAAATATTACATAAGTTAAATAAAATGTAAATTACTTAATTAGCAGATAAGTTGGTAAAAGGAATTTTGTGGTCAATAACTGACCAACTTTATTCTGTTCCAATGACCAAAGCATGGGCCAATATAAAAAATAATTATTAAATTAACTACATTAATACATTCTTCACAATGTTGAAAATTCTAATATATATATACATCAAGTTAAGATTTTGACATAATTATTACAAAAAAAAAAAAAAAGATTTTGACATAATTTATGTATTTAAGCATCGTAATAATTTTAAATATAATAAGAAAAATATTTGAAATCTGGAAAGTTTTAGTAAAAGTACTTTCTAAATATAACAGGAAAAAATGAAAGCGACAATTCACAATTTTCTTACCTTATGAATATTTTGGAAATATTTCAATTAATTCATTATTTCATAATTAGTTCGATTTAGAGTAGGTCTTGTGATTAAAACTTTAAATTTTTTCTAAAGATGATACTGGAAAAGATCAAACACATTATCTCATCCCTCGTATGTTCAATTCCTTGACACCAGCATACATTACGATCATTTAGCGTTGAGTTTATAATATATTTTTCACCACGGTATTTTTTTTTTCTTTTTCAAATTACTTAATTCTTGCCTCACTCAGCTATCATGAAAGGAGTGCGCACTGAAATTGGGCTCATGTGTGGACAACTTATGAGTCCTCTATCGCTTTTTTCACAATGATTGAATCCATATTCGCAGTTCAAACTTTAAACAAAGGAGAAATTGAAGGAGAAAGGGGCCGATTTGATTTAAAGCAAACAGTTCACACCTCATGAGTTCATGTCACATGCTTTGTGCTTTGATTGCCCCTCCATCCTGCCCTTTTTGGGTACATAGTTCTCTCGCTCTATTTGTATATTTCCTTTTGTTATTTTTTTAATTGTTTCTTTTGGAACTTTATTAATCTCATGCAATAGGAGAGAAGATCTCTCATATTATAGAAATAATTATGTATGGGATCCATTCACTTATAAAAAAAAAAAAAAAAAAACACGAAAATCGATGTATGTGTAAGAGAGAAAAACATTCTCCAACAACATAAAAATATATTTTCCCATTTCTTTGTCTTACCTTTTGCCATTTTTATATATTTTATTTCCCCCTCACTATCATTACGATTCTTTTAGACCCAAGAGTTTGGGCAACAACTTATGAAGCCCAATATATACTCCAGATCTGAGTATTACACGTTTTTTCCCACAAAAATTAAAAAATTAAAAAGCTCATTATATATGTTTGGCAACGTGATTGCATGATGTTTGTATAAGAAATGAAGATTGAAAATTTGAAATGCAAGGAAGAGCGAACATTTGTTTGAGACCTTCCTTTGTTTTTTGTTTTTTTTTTTCAATGTCCATGAATTAACGTAACTTTTATTATCAAAACTCAACAGTATTTCCTCCTTAACTCTTTCTCATTATTATTAGGAATTGACGTTTGTTCTTTTAAAAAACATAGAATTATATCATTTTATTCAAAATTATTGTATTTTATGGTGAGAGAAATAAAATTCATGGTGGAAGCAAGTGAATTTTTTTAAAAAAAATTAAAAATAAAATAAAATATTAATTTTAAGTAAAATAACTATTCTTTAAAAAGATAAATATTCCTTTATTATTATTATTTCATAATTTTTTTAAAGGGAGTTGTAATCATACCTTTATGAATATTGTATTTACGATGAGTTGTTGATTCCTTATTGTTGATTTTATAATAATTTTTTATGTAATTACCTGTTGATGTAATTTCAAGCTAACTAGTAAAAATGATGATCAAGTAAAAAATATTCTAACGTGCATACCAAAATATATATATATATATATATATATATATATATATATATATATATATATATTCTAACGTTAAGGTTTATAAATTTAAACTTGTAATTCGCCTAAATTTATTTTATAATAATTCTTTTTAAAGTTGGTTAAGTATAACCGATTGCTAATAAATAATTAATATTTGCACTGTGGCATTAGTCATTAAATGACAGAGGTAGTAAAACGAGTAACTTGCCTCATCTCTAATCTGCCTCAAAATCGCCGAACTCGTCTCGCTCTATTTTTTAAAAAAGGTTGAAAATTTCAACCTGTCAATATATTAAAAAAAATTATGAATGAATTATGGTTTTTTTACTATTGTGCCCTTAAATTAATAAAAAATTACTAATTTACCCTCATACCAAAATATTTCACCTATCTGTCTCTATTTGATCCGTTGGGGGCCCAATAATATACTCGAGTATATAGAGATATACTCAAGTATCTTACGGGAAAAAATAGGCTATGCTCGAACACACATGTGCACTAACCGGATATTGCTCATAATTTGGGAAATTCTTTAAATTAGTTACTCGAGTATAACGTGCTGACATTCCTTCCCTCACATTCTTTCTCATCGCCGTCATCTCCGTTTGCGTCGTCTCCGTTTGCCATCGTCTTCATCTGCGTATTATT